GAAAAGTTTACACCAATCACCAAAGAGAATAATACTGAATATGCATGAATAAAATAAATATGTACATTTTTGATCTATATAAACTGCAAGGAAAAAGTATGAGGTATGCAGGTTTGGTGGAATTATCCCCCGTGCATAGAGCGCTGCAATAAAGAATGCTCCCTGTTAACACTACAGTGGTGTGACGAGGTTTTATTCCCAGATTTTCGGTGACAGTTGGACCTGATGATCTTAGAGGTGTTTTCCAACCTTTGACTGTATGATTCTATGATTTCTACAATTCTTCCTCTCCCAGTTCTCCTGTCTCTAAAGGTCCTTCAGGGTCACACACATCAAGGCTGTGGACCCGTGCCTTTGTGCATGAGACAGGCAGTACTGCAGAGACAGCTACATGGAGCCTGGGACGTCAGATTCCTGGCCTGCAGCTTGATTTTGGGTTCTTGCGTCCTTCCCCCACACCCATCCCTGCTACCAACCTGTGCATTTGCTTTTCTCATGCTGTTCACCCAGTGACTCCTGCAGGCACATTGTTACCTGGCAGCTCTCCCACTACCACTTCTTGACTCTACCCCCACTCCAGGACCGTCTGTCTAGCAAACCACCCGTTTTCAGCTGGAGGGTGCATCAGTACAGGCTTGGGGCAGACCTGCTGGAGAGCAGCTCTGTAGAGAGGGACCTGGGTGTCCTGGTGGACGACAGGTTGACCATGAGCCAGCAGTGTGCCCTGGCTGCCAAGAAGGCCAATGGCATCCTGGAGTGCATTAGGAGGAGTGTGGCCAGCAGGACGAGGAAGGCTCTTCCCCTCTACACTGCCCTTGTGAGGCCCCATCTGGAGTACTCTGTCCAGTTCTGGGCTCCCCACTTCAAGAAAGATGAAGAGCTACTGGAGAGAGTCCAGCGCAGGGCTACGAGGATGGTGAGGGGACTGGAGCATCTCTCCTACGAGGAAAGGCTGAGGGAGCTGGGCTTGTTCAGCCTGAAGAAGAGAAGGCTGAGAGGGGACCTTAGAAATGCCGATAAATATCTGCAGGGTGGGTGTCAGGTGGATGGGGCCAGACTCTTTTCAGTGGTGCCCAGCAACAGGACAAGGGGCAACGGGCACAAACTGAAGCAGAGGAAGTTCCGTCCGAACATGAGGAAGAACTTCTTCCCTCTGAGGGTGACGGAGCCCTGGAACAGGCTGCCCAGGGAGATTGTGGAGTCTCCTTC